AGGAAGTAAACACTAAAGGGAACAGCAGAAGAAGACAGACAGGAAGTAAACACTAAAGGGAACAGCAGAAGAAGACAGACAGGAAGTAAATAATAATAATAATGGGTTTAATTTATAAAGTACCTCATATTTGATTTCAAATCCCGAAGTGCTACAAGCAGTGAGCATGAACAGTATAAATAAACATTACACAGCACGGGAGAAATAATAAAAAACAAACAAGAGAAATACAAATAAAATAAAATAAAAGGGTGGTAAAAAGGTCTAGGCAAAGGCTCGACTGAAAAGATGGCTTTTGAGGCCTTTTAAAGGCCTCCACGGTCTGTGGTGCTCTCATGTGGTCGGGGAGAGCGTTCCACAGAGTGGGGGCAGCCGAGCAGAAGGCCCGGTCCCCCATAGTACGGAGCTTAGTCCTGGGGGGTTTGAGGAAGTTGGAGTTGTTGGAGCGGGTGGTCCGCAGGGAGGAGTTCCTTGAGGTAGGGAGGGGCAGTTCCATGGACACACTGGTGGGTGAGGACGGAGACCTTGAATTCGATCCTCAGCTCCACGGGAAGCCAGTGTAGTGCTTTAAGGACGGGGGTGATGTGATCGTATGTGCACACCCTCATCAGGATCCTAGCAGCGCTATTCTGAATGGATTGGAGCCTCTGGATGCTTTTGTTAGGGATCCCGATGAGGAGTGCATCGCAGACAAAGGCGTGGACCAGCTTTTCGGCGTCAGACAGAGTGAGTGTGGGGCGGAGTTTGGCGATGTTCCTGAGGTGATAAAAGGAGTTCTTGCACAGCTGTTCAATGTGAGCCTCAAAGGTCAGATGGGCGTCCATTTTCACACCCAGGTTGGTGACTGTTGAGGAGAGGGGAATGTCCTGGCCGGAGAAGGTGATGGTGGTGATGGTGGATGACCGAACCTGGTGTGGGGTGCCAACTATGATGGCTCCGGTCTTGGAGCTGTTGAGTTTGAGTTCCAGGAAGTTCTGCTTAGTATTTTGATTATTAGTAAATCTGTGGGTTATTGTTCGTTGTTTGGTCTATTAAATGTCAGAAAATAGTGAAAAATATCCATCCCATTTACTGAAAGTCCAAGGTGATGTCTTGAAATATCTTACAAAACCCAAATATATTCACTTTAATATTTAATATTAAACAGAGAAACGCAGGAAATCTCTCTATTTGAGAGGCAAAAAAACTGTTTTTTAAGACTATTTTACATAAGAATTACCAAAACATGTGTTCCTGCAGGATCGGCGGTGCAGCTGTCGGATACAGACGACAGTGAAGCTGGACCCTCGGGGGACACGAGGCTCTGGGACCAGAACAGTGAGGTGGCATCGGAGCGTCAAAACTCCCAGAGTGCACCTGGGTCTCCAGGCCGAGGAGGCGACTCTTCAGACGTTGTTTTTGACGTGGAGTCAGACTGCGAGTCTCCGGATAAACAGTTCCTCGTCGTTGGGGCGTCGGGAGGAAAAAACTTCCAGCTTCCCGGGACTTCTGAGCTGAAAATAGGCGGGTCTTTAATCTCCTACGACTCAGATATCTGCTGTTCCTCTTGGACCAATCAGAGCCTGCCGTCTCACAGACTTCTCGACAACAACAGATCCGATATGAACGTCCCAGCTTTCCCGTTAGCGCTCCAGCTCGCAGGATCCCAACTGGACCCAGTGGAGATGAATCAGTTCTGCAGGGATCGTCGTTTCGTCTGCAGTTACTGTGGGAAATGGTTTACGTCGGGGCGAAGTTTGGAGACGCACGTTCGCGTTCACACGGGCGAGAGACCGTACAGCTGCGCTCAGTGCGGGAAGCGCTTCACGCAGTCCGGACACCTGAAGACGCACCAGAGCGTTCACACCGGGGAGCGGCCGTTCGGATGTACGCACTGCGGGAAGAGGTTCGCCGGGAAGCAGAACCTGAGGATCCACCTGCAGAAACACCATCCGGATCAACAGCAGCTTTAACCAGAAGAAGAACAACAACTTGATTTATCCCATGAGGGGATATTCAGTTTTCTGTGAAGGGACCTGTTAACCTGCCACTACATGATATGCGTACAAATGTTCAGTGCTGAGGTTGCCGTTTTGTTTCTAGGGAAAAAGCTCAAAATGGTAGATTATTTCAACGTTGCAGCAGACGGACAACTAATCAGGTAACAGCTGGCTGTTTTCACAGCAAGGCTCTGCAGGATGAGCTAAAGGGGCGGGACATCTGTAAGCGGTTGACCAATCAAAACAGAGCCGGCCAGCTAACCAATCAGAGCAGACTGGGCTCTGATTTCAGACAGAGGGTGAAAAGAGGTGCTGCAGCACAGGCAGTACACTACATACTGATATACACCTGAACATCAGCAGGAGAGGACTCTTTAAAGTAGAGACACTACATACTGATATACACCTGAACATCAGCAGGAGAGGACTCTTTAAAGTAGAGACACTACATACTGATATACACCTGAACATCAGCAGTCAAATTGTCTCCTGTACGATGTGTTTAG